ATATATCTAAATTACATCACCATCTATCTGAACGACATCACCATATATGAAAAAAACATCACCATCTATCAAAACCATAGCACCATCTATAGAAACGACATCATCATTTATCCAAAGGACATTACGACTTGATAAGAGTAAATATAAGGCAGCCATGGCGTTCCATAAGCCGGTAGGTAATTACGTATCTAATGTATTTAGTAATTCAAAACGATCGACCATTTTTTTGTTATAAGTGGCAAATATTACAAAGTGTAAAATACGAACTCTGTAAAATGTAAATCTAACCATAATAAAGTTGCATGCATGAATAAATAAGTGGTTGATTTTTGCAGGCGGTTAATTTTGTAAATATGAAATTGGTAATGGGAGTGATAAAGTTAAAGTAAACATTCTACACGGAGAGAGCAAACAAATTGATACATGTAATACATGTTTATCACATAATACGCGGCGCAGGAGTGTAATAAAGCCATTTAATAATCAAAAAAGGGCCATAATTCTCTAAAATTTGGTCGCAGCAAAAATTCCTTCCTTTACTACCATCTACACATTAAGGTTGTTCATCCCTGGAAGTTTAAGCAAAATCTGCCATCTGGTTTAAGAGGAGTTGCGTTCACAAAATTTCTACATTGTATATAATGAAAAAATAAAAAAAGGGCCATAATTCTGTTAAATTTGGTTGCAGCAAAAATTTCTTTCTTTACTGCCATCTACACATTAAGGTTGTTCATCCCTGGAAGTTTAAGCAAAATCTGCCATCCGGTTTAAGAGGAGTTGCATTCACAAAATTTCTACATAGTATATAGTGAAAAAATCAACAAAGGGCCATAATTCTGTAAAATTTGGTCGCAGCAAAAATTCTTTCCTTTACTTCCATCTACACCTGAAAGTTGTTCATCCCTGTAATTTTAAGCAAAATCTGCCATCCTGTTTAAGAGGAGTTGCCTTCACAAAATTTCTACATAGTATATAAGTAAAACTAGAAATGTGTCCATAGGACACGGATGCCCCCACACGCCAATGTTCTGTCAATCTTATGACTCTAGGTCAAATATTGTTTTCATTAATTTTTTTGGAAAACAGTTTGGTTTGTGAAATATACATTAAATAGTATGTAAGTACCTGTTGTTTGTAATAATCTTCTAGTCTTTGTTTAATCTTATACTGTACTTTTTTCTAGCTACATGTACCAGCCTTTCCAAGTGAATATTAAAGTAAATGATCTTTTATTTCCCTGAAAATATCAATTTAGAGATTTCATTTTCAAATTCATCTAATACTACTTTCTTAGTGTGTGTATATACAATGTATATATGTGTCTATACAATGTATATATATGTTTACACAATAATATGATTGTGTACAGCATGTAATGACATAATTAAAATTTGAAAAATTTATGATAATAAAATATTAATAGTATTTCTTCATATTACTCCACAGTATTACGGTACCACTAAAATAGAAAATGTTCTATCATTTTATTATGATATTTATTTTTTTACATGTAGATTTGTGAAAAAAATGTGAATATCAGTAGTGTCAAAAATTGTTAAATCATATAAAATGTCTAATTAACACTGATAAATTACTTCAACCATGTATTGAGAACAGGTATAGATCATTTTCAACAGTCTTGCTGTTGTGTTGACATTTTCGCGACATGGTTGTGTGCCTGCCTTGTAATCAAGAGGTCTTGGGTTCAAATCCCTTTAAGTGCCTGAAGATTTTTCAGGTTAACAATTATCAAGGTGGCAGTGATTTTTTTTTCAACTTTCAAAACAACCTGTGGCTTTATAAATGGGAAACTATAGCTTGATTAATCAGAAAAGAGGAAAAATTTCAACCACTGAAAATGGAATTTACCCATACATTTAAAAAAAGTGTAATTCAATTTAAAGGGGTTCCATTGAGGTATTTTGTCATGATGGGACTGAAATATTTTTTCCAGATAAATAATAATAATTTATAAAGGTCAAAATAAAATTATTCTGAAATATTCAAGAATGTGCCCCATTTGGTAGAGACGTAACGGCCGTGACAGACAAAAAAATGTAGGCGTATATGCCGGTTTTCCTGTAAAGGCAGACATCTGTGTAATATCAATTTGTAAAATCTGTCGATTTGCAGTCTAAGTATGATCGAAATGTCTTGGGTACGAAAGACTCGAGATCTCCAAATTACTTCGAAATTATTTACGAAAGTTTTAGTCCTCGGAAACAAATTGGCATCAATAAATAAACTTAAAATTATTATTCATCAAATTCATAACATATTTTGCTTTATAACTTCCTTTATGAGCTTAACAGGCTGATAATTATGCTCGTGAAGTAGGTCAAAAAATATACCGGAAGTTGTCGGATTCATTAAACCCAATTATCGGCTAATTCAGAGACGAATAGATTATCTACATCTCTGGCTAATTCTATTTCAATAATCCACTTTGCAATTATAAACTACAAAATTTATCCGATAATTAATGTCTTTTTCAAAAATTTCTGGAATATAATACAAAAAAAAATGTGATGATAAGGCGGATGATTAAGTTAAATATTGCAAGCCGTCAAGCACTATGACCCAATTAATTTACTATCCCATTCATAGAATTATGTGACCTTTCAAATTATATCCGCTACGTTTCTAATACCGTAATTCAAGCTCAATTGCACATTATTTTCAAAAAATAAATTTCTTGTCTCCTCTTCTGTTCGCAATAAATCGAAGTTTTCAGAAATTCAGAGCACTATTTTTCACTCGCGGCGGTTATGCGTCGGTCATGGTCGGGTGATCACTATGAATTCAGCTTACCTTGATATGTTAGAATACAATATAGCATATAGAGTGGCGATGAAACGTCACAGCAGTGGGCGTTACCCTGTATGGTTGGAAATTTCGGGTTTGTAAGTGCACTAGTTGGGACTACGTCCCAACTAAAAACGATATTACACTAGTGTAATAACACCTTGACGTGACGTCATTTGCGCTATATAGAAACATAGCGTTAAAGCGCGCTAATGTTAGCATTACACTATAGGCGCATCATTGAAAAATTACTCATTTTTACAGTTTTTTGTTCTTATTTTATATATGTGATAAATAGAATATTAAATTCGTGTAGATTCAATACTAAATTTATTAAACTCGTTGAATAAAACAATATTATGCTCGCCAGAGGCTAGCATAATATGATTTTATTCAACTCGTTTAATAAATTTAGTATTAAACTACACTCATTCAATATCCTCTATATCTGCAATGACGGTATACTTATATAAAGCTTGTTGTATGATTTATTTTACATTTGTTTTTATTCATTTGATTCAGGCAGTAATTTAATACCATGTAGTACATTTTACAATAATATATTAAATCCTTGTTTATTTACAGTATAATTTATACCATGTATAGACAATAACTTGCATGATTTTTCTACCCTGGAACGAAACATGGTCCCTTATTATCTTCTTCACTTGAACTTTTTCTTTTCACCATATGGTACTGTAGTGTTGCATATTGAATAGACCTCTTTACTTAGATAAACACTTCTTTCCAAAATATTGAAATTCATCAGTATTAACATAATGAATTATCATTAATAAACTTGTCGAATCTAAATTATAGATAAACTGTGTTTTCTGTCTCTATAAAAAGTCTTGTCTATTTCAAGAATGTTTCGATAAAGTGCATTGCTTGGTAATTTGTATAGTAAGGGAAACTGTAAGGTTAAAAGACCCGGGTGTGAAATGGGAAGTAAGACATTACCTGTCAATAGCTCAAAATTAATGATGTTAAAACGTTCCCAATATATTTTTGAAGGAAGCAAAGATTAAAATAAATATTGGCTTAAAGAAATAAATCAGGAGAATTTATAATAAATTCGACATAATGCAACTTAAGGAAAGGGTGTGCAGGTGCTGTTGGTTGTAACGCCGCAACAACTACGCCTGTTAACATGTATCTGAATATGAACTATCGTAACATTGTATAAAATGTTAAGTTTGGTAAACTGAAGTAAAAGGAAAACCATTTAACGGAATTTTTACTCAAATTATGTTTTACTTACATTGTTTATGCATTGTGTAATTTAATCTGGTTCCCAGCGTACTTCTGCAAGAGTACGTCTGGCGTGGCCCAAAAATGGCGACCTCCAGTGTAAGTACAACGGATAGGAAAAAGTATAAATGTTTGGACCATTGGCTGAAATTACAAAATAAAAGTTGTCTTATAAGCCTGAAACTGTAGCTCAGCAGTGATTTTGTCATAGATTTATTAATTTTTTGAGCAATTGCATTTTGATTCACTGTTATAGTGTTCGGATGATGCGAATGTAATGCCAATTTCGGATACTAAACCAAACTATATACGCTTGTAGATCTATCATAAAAATATAGTGAGAACAACTTTCTACGGTATTTAAAACTTATAGATACATTGTGTCCTAAACTTGGCAACAATGAACTGGATGGTATCCAGTGATACCCCTGTTTTATACAGATAATACTTCATACTGGAGACATGACAAGTGCATTATAATACAGTCTGATTTAGCCAACACTGTCTGCAAGTGCATCTTATCAGTAATGTTAACCAGTATGAAGGGGGACCAAGAAGCTTGGGCAGTTTTGTTCATTTATACTAATATTTATGAAAGTTATGTTTTGACATCTGCTGGTAGTATAAGATCCAAGTACATGTATAACAACATAGATACCGTATTTTTCATTGAACGTTGGATAGAGCTCCTATCCTAACTTTAAAACCAGCACAACAAACTCAACTTCTAAAATGTTGACAGGTCAGGTGAAAATTGTTTCGTTTACATATTGTATACAATTAACTTTAAAGGGACTCGCTTATGTTTTTGTAACTTTAAATGAAATGAAGTGTGGCGAATCATTGGGATTGTTAAACCCATGTTTTAAATTATTTGCCACCTTTTGTTTGCATACAAAATACATTTTGTACAATAATTGTGTTTTTTCTGCTATTTCGATATCATGGAGTAAGATAATGAATAAAATTCAGTGTTTTCAGATGCATTACTGTGAAAACTCATTTTTGGTTCCAAAACATGAGGGAGTCCCTTTTAAAGAGTTTCTGTCCATAAAACCATTATGCACCAGTCAATTGTAACCAAGGGAACCTAGATAAGGCCTTTTCCCTGCTATATTTTACACGAAGAAAAAACACCGCATTCACTCGGCACTGCAGGGCCACCTGAAAGGTAAAATACACGGCCCTTTCCCCCCGATATACCCCGGACCTGGGGGGGGGGAGGGGCGTGGTTACAATTGACTGGTGCATTAGTCAAACACAACTTTTAATGTAAATGTGTAAATTTAGTATTTTTTATTTTTTGAGCTTCTTGCTTTTAAATTTAAATTCATTCTTTCATATGTCTGTAGGCGTGTAGCATTAACATCATTTGACCTTCAATTATTTCAGGAAAGAAGAATTGCAGATGCAATAACAAATTATAATATACATGTGGGAGCCAAGATCTCAACTCTGAAAGAAAATCAGAGAAGTGCTGTAAAATATTTAGTGAGGGCAAGGACTGCATCTGCTCCCTTCCCACTGGTTATGGCAAATCACTGATATATGAATTACTGCCTTTCCTTGACACTGGGTGTCTAGTTGTTGTAGTAGTTCCTCTAAATGCAATTCTAAACCAGCAGATGGAAAAGTTAGGTGATTTAGCTATGTCCCTTTGCCCTGGGAAAGTTGACTTCAATAAACTTAAGACTGGCAAATATAGTTACCTTTTTTGCCACCCTGAACAAATTCTAGACAATAAAGCTCTTAATGAGGTTTTTCGCACAGAGGGACTCAGTGGAAGGAAAATTTATCTTGTGGTAGATGAGGCCCATTGCATACTGGAGTGGGGAGAGGAGTTTCGTCCGGACTTCAAACGATTGTTTCAATTAAGATCACTATGTAAATGCCAAGTACTGGCTTTGTCTGCAACAGTTACAGATGCTGGTAAAAAATGTATTTGTTCAAGTCTTCTTATGAAAAATGTTGAGATAATAAGTGAAAGTCCGGCCAAAGACAATATCAGTCTTACAGTGAAAAGACGACCAAGTCCTACTGCAAGTGGAAACAGTTCTACAACACCCTACGATTATATTTTTCATCCTGTTATAACAAAGTTGAAGCATGAATTACAAGATTTTGAGATCACCATCATTTATTGTAAATCCATGCAGTGGATAGGTTATGGCTACGAGACAGCCAGAAGAATCCTTGGCACGGACTTCTACGCAGGTGATAGCAAACTTGAGCATGCTCGAGTGGTGATGTTTCACTCTTCTATGGAAAAAGAATCTGGCCAGGTTTGTATTTGGGTTTTAACAGTTTATTCATTTCAAAATATATACTTGTTTAGGACAGACTTGAATACCATTGTGGTTTTATGTCTTATTTCACTAAAACGGCTTGTACAATACATAAAAATAAAGTAATGATCATTTCAGATTATCAATGTTTATTAAAACAAAATAATTTTTTTTAACAGCAACTACATTGATGTTGTTTTAAGCTTACAATTATAACTTCTATTAATATAAATGTGTAATACCAGTAAATAACATCCTTGCCATTCTTATAATATACAATACAGATTTTTGGATTGGTATGCAGTATGGATTAGGTACACGTTTTTCAAACTGATCCGATCTACAATCTAAACAATTAATCTTTTCATCAAACACAAAGTTTGTACAATTCTATTTCAATAAATATCTTCAAATTTTTATCAAGCTTTTTGACCACATAAAGTATCCACTGATGATCCTGTATAAACAAAATCATGTACCTTGTTACAGCTGAAGAACATGATACTGACATCACTTCAAAAACCAGATGCAGAATGTCGGATAAGGCTCATTATTTCATCTGTTGCATTAGGAATGGGGGCAGACTTGAAAAACGTTAAAAGGATAATACATGCAGGACCACCAACTAGTTTAGAAAGTAAGTTTAATGTACATTTAAATAAAAAACATATACCTTCCCACATGTTTTCACCATGAATTGTAGATGTAGAAATACGTTTAAGCTAGTTAACTTTATTTTTCGTGTTAAAGCTGCACTCTCACAGATATATTGTTTCGACAACTTTTTAATTTTTTGTCTTTGAATTAGCCAATGTTTGCATAAATATCTGTAAACAAGTGAAATGTGATAGCTAACAAAAGATCAGATCACAGTTTCCACATTTTACTTTCAAAATATATTTAACGCTTTAATGCTGCACTCTCACATATTGAACGGTTTAGGACATAAAACATTAATTTTCGAACGGAAATATAAAAATCTGCAATCTGATATTTTGTAAGCAATCTTTAATCATTGTTTTGCAGATATCTAAGACAAAAAAATAAATAAATGTAAAAACGGTATATCTTTTAGTGTGCAGCTTTAAAAAATGAGTTTTGGGCATAAAAAACAACAGTACATATGAAAACCTGTAATCGGATCTTTTGTCAGCAGTGTTATAACAATGGTTTCTAGACATTAATGCAAAAACTGGCTGATTCTAAGACCAAAAAAAGATTTAAAAACGGTATTATCAGGTAAATATCTGCGAGTGCCCCTTTAAGTAAATTTACAAAATATTCTTTATACTTCTGGTACACTCACAGCCAAGTTGTAATCTTTCTTACTAATTATGCCATTTTAATTTTCGTTAAAAACTACAATCAAAATATAATGGAGTCCTTGCATAGTTAGTTATTTTCTATGTCCCAAACAGAAAAGCAACATTACAACAACTCTGTAACAAACATCTTCATTTGTTGCCTTTTATAAAAAATCAGATAATGTGTTTGTTTTGATTATAAAACATGTGGCACTTGTGATTCTATAACCACTCTGAACACCACATGGAACAACATAATCAGAGTTCATTGAATACATAATACTTTAATATAGTGCTTTTAATATGTGCATCTTAACTGTTCTTTTGTTTTCAGCATATATTCAAGAGATTGGTCGTGCTGGACGAACAGGGTCTGTGGCAGAAGCAGTTCTCTACTTCAATAATTCTGACATATCAGGTCAATGTATGAGAAAGGATATGCAAGATTACTGTAGAAACAATGAAAAGTGTCGCAGGGATATCATCAATGATCATTTTGGCTTCCAAACCAAGGAAAAACCAACAATCTGCTGCAATTTTTGTGACTCTCAACTGTGTATTGAATGGGATTTTTCTAATTTAGCAATAAATAAGTGAAAAATCTCAATTAGGTTCTTCAGCACAGGAACAGATTTTGATGCACAAATAAAAGTTTAACAAAGTGTTCTTGTAAAAGATTTTTTTTAAATTACTGAAACATTACTTTCTAACCAAGTGTTCATTGTGTCATGCATAATAAAATGTAAATGCTCATGTACAGTACACAATACATCATCATATTTTAATTACATATTATGTTTAACTGTACTAAAATTATGATGTGTTGCTCAATTACAGTTAGTTACTGTATCAATTATTGTTCAAAGTTCATAATGTAGCAGCATTTTGTGATGCAGAATCCATTTCAATATATCAGCCATATACAATTTCTTAATAGGATTTTTTGGTACTTTTTTCAGAGATTCAGACTGACGACCACACACTTCCATGAATGGTTTTATTTGTCTCAGGTCTCTGATAATTTGTTTTTCATCCTCGAATGAAGATAGTTTTTTGTGTTTTGTGAGCACGCTGTACAACCCCAGTTTTTTTGTCAAAGTTGTTTGATATTTCCTCCATCCCAAAGAAAGCACTACTTCTTTTTACCAATGATTTATCAGTCACATTTGATCCCATTGACCGTAAATGTCCTTTGGTCAATCTTACAATATGTTCCATTTGAAGATCTGCAAGAATGATAGTTCTACCAGTGTTAACAAACAGTCCATAAATGCTTTCATTTGCTGTTTTTTCACTCAAGAGGGCAAATTGCTGACATAACAGTCTTAAAATCTCAAGAGCATATTTTGACTTATTCTTATGGCCTTTCAACACCAGCATGATATACTTCATGTGACAGAGCAAACGAATCCGACTTGGTGATTTCACAATGTCACATAGTTCGAGAAAAATGAGTCCAAGTTCCAATACAACTTTACTATATGACAATACAGCGTCAGTTCCATTAACATCCACATCTTCACTTGATATGTGCCGCCTGCTTTCAGATATTATGTTTTAAACAAGTGGTTGTACAAAAGTCGTCATCCAATGCTTTATTTCATTGTTTGTCATATTTTTGTGGTCTGGGAGGTTTTCTGGGGCTGTGTCAGTGTTCTTCAAATCAAAATACTGACATGTTGCTTCGACAATGTACGCCCTTATGAATGAAACTGCTAGGTCTCGACAGCTATCATAATGATTTTTGACGTCTTTACCTTCAGCATGTTTTCGCAAAAGTCTTACTTTCTGTGAGTAAAGTGTGAATGGCTCTGTACAGTCCGCTTTGTAAAGTATGTCAAAGAATGTTGCTAAAACAGTCATTTGAACATGGAACAGCTCAAATGTTATTGGAGATAGATTTTCAAACCTCTCGGATGCAGTCAGGGCTGCTGCTCTTAGTCTTTTTGCACCAGAAAACCTTTCTCTAGTGAGCTGGTCACCCCCTATGTGAATTTGAGGAACTTGGAGTCCAGAACCTTGATATAAGGTCTCACCTAAATCTTGGTATGTGTCCAAAATATCTACAACATCAGCATATTTCTGTTCATTTTTATGCTGTATTTGAAGGGGTATGACTGTGTTTTTCAGTTTCATTTTCAAAGGTGTTCCCCCTTGAATTTCATTACTTACAGCTGATTTGGCAAAATTTAGCCATGGAAAAAAGTCTGTTAATACCCTTGAAACAAGAATGCACATATCACTTGTTATCACTTTCCAGTCATTATCATGCATAATGAATTGCTCGGCTGGAAGCTGCTCAAGGTTGCACTGGGGTATTGTGTCTGAACAGTCATTGAATGAAACATTTTGAACAATGGCAGCAGATCCAAACCAATGTTCCATATGGCCAGCTTTACCTGTACTTTTTCTCTCGTTCGTGACTCCAATATTGAAGTTAATATTGTCTCCAACTATTCGAAATTTCTTGCCCTCTTGTATGGAATTGATCAGCTCAGTGTTAAAGCTGCCTGATATGGCTGACATAGTCTCCAACATGCCAGAATGGCTAAGTGATATACCCAGAGGCTGTAGCCGGTCATACACCTGTTGGATAGAGAAAACATATAAAATAGATAGTGTGTGTGTTGAGGATTACACCATATTACATCTCCTTACATTGAAGGTCAGTCTTTTTGGTTCAGAACAAGTACTAATTTAAGTTCACTGCAAAAACGTACAAGCCTATATTTAGTATTTATTTGTACAGGTAATACTTATTTTTTACATTTCTAAGGAGCACCAACTGTCATCAGAAAATATGCCCCACCTAAATGTACGACAACAAGTTTGGTGATAGGTGGTTGTATGTTAAATGCTACAATGGACACTGCAAAGACAGTTTCAATGGTCCTTTCTCTTGAAGGACTGATGCTTAAAAATTGGTTATGAAATATAACATAACAGTGATTTATAGTGAAACTTTTTGTAAATTAAATTAAATAATTAATGACTCCTGGCTGCTTTAATATCAAAATCATATTCAATTATAAACATAAACATGACATAAAGAGACCTATTGAAGACTTTGAATAGAAAAAAGCCCTGGTCTGTCACATTTACCCAAAATAGGTTGTTTCTTTGACGGTGATATCCTGTGGTCGAACTTCATTAACTGTTCAAAGTGAAGAGAAGAACCAGCAGGTGAACAGGAAAACATCAGCTAGAACTTGGAACGTAACTGCTTTAGAACATTGAGAAAACGTCAGCTATAACTTGGAACTTAACTGTATAACATGAAAAACAAGGGTTTCAACTATAACACAAGCAATTGGATGCTGAACTATATTTAAAGTAACATGCTTCGAAAAACTTCATAAATGTCTTATGATATTATATACATTTATGTGTGGTGTGCATATTACTGTATCTATTTTAATTTGTATGTTATTTGTCAAGTTCTCATTTATTGTCATATATTGTTTCCTTTATCAATGGTTACACCTGGAGAATATATACCTCATAGTAATGAAATAGTAAGGTTCATACATTTATGCATGTTTGTATAATATAAGTGCATGGTTTGTATTCTTAATTCACTATTACGGCATTTAAAGGAATTTTAAATTTTTGTTGATTGGCCTTTTTTAAAAGACAAATTCATTATTAAAAGAAAAAAAAACCCTTTTTAGGCCAAACTTTTTAACTACCGGGCCTTTGCAAAAAATTCTGAAACAGTTTTGGGCCAATGAAACCAAAACCATATACCTTTTGGTGGGGCGTTCATTTTCCCCCCTTTTAAAACTGCAAACAACCCTTTTTTTGGACACTGGAAACCAATTCATGGAAACCCTTCATTTCAACCCCATCCCCAAAATTTTACTGTACCCACCCCACTGGCCCAACAAAACTCTGTTTCAGCAAAATTTTTCCAAAATTTTTCCATTTTGGAAGGGGCAACCCAATTTTAAAATTTCAGCCAGAAAATTTTGCTTGTCTGTCACTTTTCAGCTACAATATTGTCCCAACTGAAAGTTGCTAGCTTTTCATATTGTTTTTTTTTGATTTAAAACACTCCTTCTGGTTGCACATTCTCTGGCCTTCCATTTCTACGTCATATAGCACCAAGGCACTTTCAATTCCTCTGCTAGAGACGAGCTCATTAAATCCTCTGGCAATTTGTTGAGGACTGCCTCTACCTGTTGCAAAATAAGTAACCACCATTACAGTTCTTTCCACAGTAAGACAACTTGAACAGCTGATTTCCATCAATGCCTGTAGTCATGCAAGATTTCATTCGTAATAACAATTTTTAATACCTAAAAACTTGTTTTATTAGCCCCAATCTTTCAACAGTTTTAAAAGGGAAATCTGATCTGGAATGAATTAAAGCTGAAGCTCTGCCTAACTCCATATAATAAGTGTATAAAGAATAATTATTGGTTTTTCTTTTTTTAACTTACAAAGCAACTCCACCAAATGAGCCTTTTCACCGTCCTTGAGCTCAGCATAATGACGAAAACGTCTTAAAGCAGCCTTGTGAATAGACTCTGCACCCTTGCCAGCTTTTTTCTGGAGTAAGACAAAAATCAAGTTGGATTGTCTTGGAAAAAACTTGATTTCTTGTAACAAGCAGAATACTTGACAACATCAGTCATTGGAAAACCTTGTGCAAAAAACTTGAAAGAAAAGTGGATTGAATCAAAATAAAAAAAATAATTTTGCATTTATCTAAACAATTGTTTTACTAATGGCACATACATTTAATAGTGACAACCGAAGAATATTAATTGCATTTGCAATATTATCTTGCTTTGATCAAGGGCTCTTATTCGGCCATTTGAATTAAGATATACACACAAACATTCAATTTAAAGCCCACATCATAACATCATGTGTACATGTATAACATCTAAAATGTTTCTAATTTTTGCTGCTTAGCATGAATTACTATGTATATCTTCAGATATATCAGAAAGTTTTAATATTACAATAAGAATTTACAAAGTATTTTCTATTTAAAAAACAAAATATTTAAACACCTTACAATATTATTTACCTTAAGTTCTTTTTTTGGCTCCAAAAATATCCATTCACCTTCCTCATGAAACACTTGACCTGAAACTGAAAAACCACAGAGAATGAGTGTTGGTATATCAAATAACCCGATACCTGACACTCTACAAATTGTAGAGTCAACATTAACATTTTTCATATACATTATCTAAGTGTTATCATTTTGGACCAGCAATGTCACACGGGGGCCCCAATTTAACATCCCTCACAGATTTGCTTGATACATCAGTTCACTTATTGCATTACCCATTCACTGGTGGCCATTACATACCTGTATATGGTTTGGACAATGTTTCAATATTTCATTACCAACTGTTAACATTCTCAACAATTTACCTGGTAGATATAGGGAGCACTATGTCAGTCTGAGTTCCTTGATCCACTGATTTCACTATTTCTCCTGAAGAGGAAGGGATCTGTTCAGTGATGTCCAGTCTCTTAAATGCATTTTTGCAGGAACGGCCTGTTAAACAATAAACTCATTTACAAATATGTTTTTTAAAAATGAGTTACCATGTTCAGAGTATTAAGAAACTATTGTGCTATCTATCAATTTAATACCAGAAATCCACATCCATTACAGTTGTATTACTAAATGTTTTTATAACATGTTCAAAGGCTTAACAATGCTGCAGAAATGGTGAATTGTCTATATTAAAGTACAAAATTGTTCATAAAAGCCGAATTTCCAATAACTATCTGTCACCATGGAAGCAACATGGATAACAGTATGTTCAAAATGTATTCAACCACCTTCATTTGTTCCTATCACAAGTGTGTGTCACATTGCCATTGAATACAGTAATGTACATATTTTTATTTTTAACATTTTTTTTTTATTTTTTATAATTTATTTATTTTGGTCAATATGATGAATATAATTATGTCTTATGAAAAATTATTCCACAATTTTTCATGAAAGAAAATTACTATCTTTATTTTATACAATAATTATACTAATTTTTTTTCATGAAAAATTGTGGAATATTTTTTATAAATATGACATTGAATCACTATCTTGACCAAAAATATAAATAATAAAAATATAAAAAATATAAAAAAATATAAAAAATAAAAAAAATATATTCAGGCAATATGACGAGCGCCTGTGGTTAAACTAAACCTGAAATAATTTCTCTTAAAACTCGTAATATGTTTATCTTACCTGTCCTTAGATTCACAGGAAATTTGACATTCATTGCCTCGGCACATTTTGTCCAGTACATAGTATCTGTACCATGTTGCTCATTACATCTTACATACTGGTGAAGGAACTGCTTTTCTTGGATCGACCAAGGGCAATGTCTGGCCACACGGTCCTGTAATAAAAATTAGTTAGTTTTTTTGTGTTTTTCATTTTTAAATTTAGCATTTATGTTAGGAAAACTATTTCGAAACATCAAATACATACCATCTCTCCCATTTTTTTTCTACCTTTAATATATATATTATTTTTTATGTTCTTTAGAAAATAAGTCCAAAATGCTAATAGGATTTTTCAAACAAAGAGGTAGATCAATGGTTTGTATTAAAAAGCATACAGTTATACCGGGGTATTTCAGAATATACAAAATCAGAAGTTTACCTCACACAATGATGTGCGTTTAGACACCTGAACTGGAGTTTTGCCTGTTGGTGTGCTGCTCTCTCGTTTCCGTTTGGATTTTGTTGGCGTTTGTTTGAGCTTTGATGGTGACTTCACATATGAGTGCTCAATACTGTCTCTCACAATTTTTGGCAGACGTTCTTCTGGATCAAACCTCGGATATGTGTGGTCCATTGTAAATATTGTTTCCCTGTTTAATGAATATTTGTATATATTAATGCCATACTCAGAACACTTAAATCTGACTAGTTACATGTATGTGTATTCAAATCATAAGTAAACACAAACTATGTTCTGAAAAAAAGGTGAACACACAAAAAAGGTGAATTTTTATTACCAGATTTTACTATCCGAAATACCTATATTCCGTTCATTGTCCGAAACCTATACAACTACGTAAACATCCGATTTCCAAACAAACCAAAGCTAACCAACACTACCTAACGATAGGAATCAATACAAATATATAAAAGTGAAATACCTACAGAGTTATAAATAGACGGTCCACAAAATATGTTTTTACCTTTAAGATAAGGAATGCACAGGAGGCAGCCATTTCCAGCGTGTGCCAGGCCCGATAATGAAATGGTAAGGGCAGGTAACCCAGGCTATGTGTAATTTACTTGATACAGTTCATATGCCGATGGATACAGTTCATATGCCGATGGATAAAGTTCATATGCCGATGGATACAGTTCATATGCCGATGGATACAGTTCATATGCCGATGAAGTCATTTAAACAAAAACATGTGATCATAGAAGTTTGTAAGGTTTATAAAGAGGAATAAATTGATTATGCGTTACATATAGGATTAATTAATTATATGTATGCATTTCAGTACCAGCTGGAGCATACAATTTACCATAGATTTTGACCACAGACGAACGAGTTTTACTTACCACAGCTAATTCCTACTAAATCGGATTTTTAAATTGAAACAAAAATGTTTTTGAACTTGGACCTTTTGCACACAAATGGCAACATATTCAACCAATATTTTATTATATTATAATATTAAATTGCATTCTTATGTACAGTAATTGATAGTGACACCACTGCGTACTTTCCAGAAATTTCAAATCATTGATACCAATGCTATAAAGATGATTAAATAAATTTCGACAAGGTTATAATGAATTACTTACAATATTATCTTGAAAATATATATCATATTGTTTATATTTTACGCCTTTGAAACATCCAAATGAAATAGTAATGGGTATAGGTACATGTTCAGGTGTGATATCGTAAAAATAAGTACTTGAAATGAAGTGGAATCAACAACTACAAATATTCAAGTGTGATTATGCTCCATGTTTTATTGTAAAGGACAAATATAAATCTTCCTAAAAATATGAAAAGGCTGCCCCATTTTATTTACTTTTTTATTTTTATTTTATTTATCGTATGGATATTTTTAGAAATTCGTCGAACCACTATTGTTATCCATCGTTTTTGCAATGTATATAATAATGTAGTTTAAAGGATTTATGGAAAATTGTTAAGTTATTTTGACCTTCACCTATTCACTCACTATATTTCCTTGGATGCTACAGATCTACAAACTTGTCATACATTTGGATTGGATGACTTGGGCATGGACAGTAAATTTAGTTCCGTTCATCAACAGGCTCAAATAAAACTGAGCCTGTAACATTTTCAATGTTTCCATTTTTGACGTTCATAAGGGATTATTTCTCTTTATTTTATTTGTCTTATTTCTCTTTTCCATGAAAAGCTCAATCAAAAAGAGACGGCATTGGCTTGGGATTCTTTATTGTTTCCGTTTTTCTCTATTTCCATTTTCATTTACAATCAAGTCGGTAGACTGGCACAATTTTTCCCTTCTTACAAACAAAATTATTAAACATTTTGGCAATTGCGGATGTTACTCTTTAGTTTTATAATATACTGCCTGCTCTTTTCTAATATCTACGTAGCATACAATGGTAATTTGTTGTTATTTTGTAAGAATAAGATAAACAAAATCAACAAGGAAAGGTGGCAGTCAATGAACGCAACCCCACACGGCCAAGCAACAAGAACCAGTTGCAAGATTGTAAAAGATTTGCTCCAGTTCTATGAAATTTCATTTTAATTCCTACATGTGTGTAGGAGATATGCTCCGGAAACAATTGGTCTTTGGTCTGTCCGTCCATTTTTCATGGTCGTTCCTGTATTACGACCATTAGTTCAAACGAACGTATAAAAATGAGCATAATGTCAGTATAACATCTATAGGCATGCAAGCACACGCTGATACATCATTAGGGACTCTTATTCACATATGGAAGTTTATTTGCTCTACATGTTTTCATCTTTTTACAATTTTACTGTGCAGTATTAAAAGAATAACTGCACTGACTTCTGGAAATAGTGTTTACAAAAGTTATATAACCTTATTTCCCATGGAACCGTTATTTAAAAAATCTTTGATGATTTTGAAATTACTAACGAAACTATGTTATTTATGGTCGAATATTTATTGAAAATACTTTCTACGAAGGCTATAAACTAGAAGATCCTCGCTTCTGGCCAAAATTCACGCGTTGCAGACAAGCTTTATTTTCAAGTCATTGTTTATGTTTAAGAAATTGCATGAAATGATGTTTACGTTTTAAAGAAATTTTAAAGAAGTTAAACGGTATACGTGATGCTTGACAAATTTCATATTCAATAGATAAACAAACGTTGTGAGATTATGTGCATCGTAAAAAGCTTCGTCAACCATCAATATATATACTTTGTCATTAAACGTGGTGTTGCTACATTGTGAGACTGACTTATTCTTAAAACTGAAAAGTCAAATTTTACCGGTTGGTTGAGTGTTTCATCGTATTCGGAAAATATAGAGGTGAGTAATAATAAAACTGTAAGAAAAGTTAGGAGTAAAATAAGTCGGATTAAAGACCCTACATGAGATATTAAAGGTATTTATCATTATTTATGTTAAAAAGGATCAAATTCAAAGTAAAACCATGACTCTCAAGATCCCAATATTCGAAAAATCAAAAACTGATCTTATTGAGAAAATTATACAAGAATTTCAAGTGTTTTGAAGTTTTCTTAAAAATTGTATTTGAATCATTTGAAGACAATAAAAAGGGAATGAATTGTTTTGTCAACAGTCGGACAATACTAGTCAACTTATTTTATAATTTGAAATACCTCATTGATAGATAATATTGTAAAATAACGAATAGATGGTATGAAATAATAATTCTTTAATTTGCTCAAAATTTCTTCACAAAAAATGTAATTAATATATATAGTGTAATATGTATAAGTTTATATTATAGAAATTTGTTTTCAGACAAAGGTGGAATGGAAATGGATTCAGTCAAAATTATGCTCGCATTTGTTTCTGCTTTCTTATTCAATGATTGTCAATGGGGCCCTGTGGGTAAGTGTGCAATTGAGTTTATGCTATTTACCTATAGATTGTGACAAATCGCCACACCAGCTAACGGACATTGCTGTCCAAAATGCAAAGAAGGCAAAGGTATGAAGAATGAGAAGTTGTTATATCATTCCGCAATATGTTTTGATAAATATTTAAAAAAGACGTTATAAATGTATACAAAGTTATGTTTTCAGTATACCAAATTAAGTTTTATCTTGTGAATGGACGATAAATTGAAGTTTAACCATATTAGCTATAATCAAACTTTACTTTTTGTATGCAAAATAAAAACATATGAAAATTCTCCAAGAAAACGAAATAAAATGTTATAAAATATGTAAGATGCAGAAGTTCGTACATAGAAAGACAGAAAAAATGTAGGTTTAAACTGTCCGACAAATGTGAGGCTAGAGAGAATGTGTTATCGGGATTATAATGTAAGCACCCTTTTATTCTAAATGAAAGTTCTTTTAAAAATTATATTTCTGTAAAGAGCAATAAACATGATTGTTTTGTATAAAGAATTCCAAGTCTGGCCTATAAAAGTACAATATTATTGCATTAATAAGCCAGAATTATTTCCCATATAATCGTACTTTGGTTTTCAAGAAATGAAAAGTTCAACATAGACGTAGTATTAAGAAATTGCTTTCCATGAATGCCTTTTGAATTGCCTACGAGATATAAAGGTAATAAAAACATGACTACCATTTGTATTATATGGCGAGGGATATCAACGAGTTTACTCGTTATTATTCCGAACTCCCCCATTCATACCTACAAGACAAATTGTAGTCTATAGTACAAGATATTGTTAACTGGTTAGATACCATTAGTTATTTTTTGCCAAAAGTTTAGTTTACAGATGCGTTCATTGAAAGCCGCCCTATCTCGCTGATCTTTGGTTTCATATTTTACAAATAAATAAATATGTTAACTTAAAGTTATTTTCGTAACAGGATACACCCAAATTTAACAACCATAACGTTTCATATCAGGTGGAAATACAATCTATTCGAGAGAATTCATTTGTAAATAAAAATATTTTACCCGAGTCACTTCACAATTATGAATCACGACTTGATAGAAATGCGTCATGTCTTTTGCCATTAAATGTTTTCCACATTAAATCATGTTACACGAGAGGGATCGAGTTCTTGTGATAACTGTCACGGACTTTTGTATAAACTACAAATACATTCGTCAAAATGAAAATATTCATCTTTGAAAAGTCAGTTATTAAGTGCTTTATTAAATTTAAGTGATAACGTCCGCCTTACATCTTGTTTTATTTGTCAAAACAAATTCATCAGCTATTTTTCATGGCCTCTTGCTTAAAATCTGGTTGTTTTGAATCAATTTCACTAAAAATAATAGGAGACAGATTATACAGTCATTAAAGGGACTCAACTGAGATTTTTTATTTTACATGAAAGAATTGGAACTAAATATTCGAAATCTATTTGCAATTTGATGTAGGTCAATAGCATTAATTTGTGTGTACGATAATTTGCTCATATAATAACAAATTGTGACGTGTAATGATAACTTACACAATATCTAAAATGTGTGGCATCTTAAACGATACATCTTTAAAACACACACACACCATACGCATGCACGCACGCACACGCACACACACATACGAACGCATGCACACACACACGCACACACACGCACACACACGCACACACGCACAAACTGTCAAAGCGGATGAAAAAGAGGCAAAATGTATGTTCAGTATCTATGAGTTGCAAACATTAACAAAGAAGCTGTTGAATCTTCTGGGCAATCTTGTGACTATAAAGTTGGTGATAAAATTAAGGTAAACATTCCAGACGGGAAGAGCAAAAAAAAGATAGATTGTATTACGTGTACATGCAGAGACGGCGTGCTTGCTTGTACCAAGATGGTGCTTGTGGTAATTTGTTTTATATTTGTCCATGAAATTGATTTATTTTTAAAATATCATTCTTTTTATCATTGCAAATACATGTAGTAAATTTACATTATGTTTCATAACATTTTCAATATCATTATTTATGCAATGTAATTTATGTTTATGATTAAGCGCACGTTAAATTTCAAATCCTTAAAATGCAAAAAATGGGGGGGGGGTGAATAGCGTTTCAACTTATAATTCGTCAAATTAATTTTGTTATAATTGTATTGTGTTACTCGAAATAATCTTAAAGTTAATTGAGT